TCTGCAGAGGCTCTGTGGGGACTAGCAGTCAGCTCACCTTGCTCATTTGGGAACCAGCTCTATGCTGCCCTGAGCTGTAGTAGGAATTCTAAAACTGGAGCCATAAGGGAAGTAAAACGCTTGGACCAGACATGACAGGGGGACAGAGATCTAGAAGGAGAGAAGGGAAGGGGAAGAGGGGGGGGAGAGGAAAGGGGAAGGGGAAGAGAGATCCAGAGAGAGGAAACCAGGAACAAGGGATGGCCGCAGAGCGGTGGATGTCAGACGTGCAGAATGAGGGAGGGAGGCACTAAAGAGAAGAGAGAGATGGAGGGATACGGAGAGCAAAACCCATGGAGCCTCGAGCCCAAGGGTCACCTTTTCTGATGTCTGAGTCATAACAGACTCTAAGCCATGGCGTCAGCACCCTTCACAGCCAAGGAAGGTCACGGTACTCCTGGAGGTGCTCTGTTTCCTAGGGCAGAAACCCAAGCTGTAAAATGTTGTGGTGTCCCCAAGGTCACCCAGCACGTCATAGAGCCACCAGGACTGGTAACAGGTGGCCTGCTCGCGACACCCCCACAGCTTCTAGTGTGCAGGTATGGTTGGAGGCCACTGGTCCTGGGTCGTTTCATTTTGTTTTGTCTTTTGAGACAGGGTTGGTCTTTCTGTGTAGCCCTGGCTGTCCTGGAACTCAGGATGTAGACCAGACTGGCTTTGAACTCACAGAGATCCTCCTGCCTTTGCCTCCCAAGTGCTGGAGATGAAAGGTGTGGGCCACCGTGCCTGGCAAGGCCATGCATCTCATGGGGGAAGCTGATATTAGAGGGAACAGTATTACCCTAGGCTAGAGAGGGAAATATTTTTGGAGTCTTCTGGGACTGAGAGACATTTTAGGGAAGAGGAGAGGTTACAATCACTAACAGAGTTCAAGGGATCTGGCTGGCATTAACTTATTAAAACCTGTTCACTGGTGCCGTGTTGAGTTATTTTTGATAACCCATGTCACCTGCTTCAGTCATATGAACTCTTGCTTAAGACCAGAGGGTGAAGCATCTCAGGGGGGCTGCTGGGAGGGTATGCCTCCTCTGAGGCACCAGACATCAGGGGGAGATGTTGAGAGGAATCTTCTTCGTCACCAGCCATCTTGCCGTGCAAGAGAAAGGGGCGGTGGAGAGGGTGTGATGGTGACAGACATGGAGCAATCTTAGTGTGGCCGCTTCCCTTGAACGGAGACTCACATTCAGTCATAGAAATGGAGACTGACCTGTACCCAGAGAGCAAAGGTGTGAGATGTGGGACACAGACTGAGTCACGGAGGAGGTGATGGGTGCAGAGGAAGTGTGGCCTGGAGAGGAGACAGATGTCAGCAGAAGAGAAGCAAGGCTCAGAGAGCAAGGAGATGGGGGGCAGGGAGGAGGGGGGGCAGGGAGGAGGGGGGCAGGGAGGAGGGGGAGGGGGAGACAGGGAGGAGAGAGGGGGAGACAGGGAGGAGAGGGGGAGACACGGAGGAGAGGGAGGAGGGAGGGGGCAGGAAGGAGGGGGAGGGGGGGAGACAGGGAGGAGAGGGAGGAGGGAGGGGGCAGGAAGGAGGGGGAGGGGGGAGACAGGGAGGAGAGAGGGGGCAGGGGAGGAGAGGGAGGGAGGGGGCAGGGAGGAGAGGGGGGAGGGGGAGGAGAGGGAGGGAGGGGGCAGGGAGGAGGGGGAGGGGGAGGAGAGGGAGGGAGGGGGCAGGGAGGAGGGGGGAGGGGGGAGGAGAGGGAGGGAGGGGGCAGGGAAGAGAGGGAGGGACAGGGGGAGGGGGAGGAAAGGGAGGGAGGGGGCAGGGAGGAGAGGGAGGGGGCAGGGAGGAGGGGGGAGGGGAGGAGAGGGAGGAGAGGGGGAGGGAGGGGGCAGGGAGGAGGGGGGAGGGGGAGACAGGGAGGAGGGGGGGAGACAGGGAGGAGAGGGAGGAGGGAGGGGGCAGGAAGGAGGGGGGGGGGGGAGACAGGGAGGAGAGAGGAGGCAGGGAGGAGAGGGAGGGAGGGGGCAGGGAGGAGAGGGGGAGGGGGAGGAGAGGGAGGGAGGGGGCAGGGAGGAGGGGGAGGGGGAGGGAGGGGGGAGAGGGAGGGAGGGGCAGGGAGGAGGGGGGAGGGGAGGAGAGGGAGGAGGCAGGGAGGAGAGGGGGAGGGAGGGGGCAGGGAGGAGAGGGAGGGGGCAGGGAGGAGGGGGAGACAGGGAAGAGAGGGAGGGGGCAGGGAGGAGAGGGAGGGGCAGGGGGAGGGGAGGGAGAGGGGGAGGAGGTCAAGAACTCCCTCTTCTTACTGGCTTCTCCCCCTGACTCCCAGCCTGGAGCTGGGTCCCTTGGTAGGCACAGGCTGTGTCAGGGAAGACGAGAGGGCAGACGGGTGACCCAGATGGACACCCAGGCTAGGAAGTGTCCCTTCCCACCTCCAATAAACAACTGGAGTGGGGCTGAGTCACCCTGGCTGGGATGGCAACTTGAGGGGAAAACCCTAGTCTGGGGACACCCTTCCTGCCGCTTCGCCACGCTATATTTAGGTTGGGAGAGGATGGGTGCTGGTGACCCCCCCAAGGCAAGTGTCAGCTTCCTTCCTAAATTAAATATAGCGGGGGGGGGGAACCAGAGTCCTAGAGAGGGGCGCGGGAGAGCAAAGCGCCCTGACACCCAAGGGCCGCTGTCCAGCTGCGCTGCCGCTGGCCCTGCTTGGTCTCCTGCCTGGGTTTTCGTCCTTTGTCTTCTATGGGTCACAGTTGACTGTTTCGCTAGGCAGGCCGCAGTTCTTAGAGCCCACTCTAATTACCTTCAAGTTTTCTTTCCTGCCCTGGCTCCCTGGTCCCCAGCCAGCAAATTCCAGGGCAGAAGACTGTGGGGAAACCCCAGTCACTGTCTCCAGGCCTTATCACTGCATGGGCCCAGCTGGCTAATGTCTGGCAGGGGGACGCAAGAGGGCAGACAGGAGCAGAGGGTGGGAAGCCTGCACGAGACACCGCAGCAATTCCAGGCCTGAACCGGGGACTGAAGGGAAGATCGGGGCCCGAATCCCTGGGTCGGAGGGTTGGGGCTTGCACCCCTGGGTCTGAGGGGGGGGGGAGGGCTGGGGTTCTGAACCCTGGGCCTGCAGCCTTGGGCCTGAAGGAGGAGGGGCGGGCTCTGGACCCCAGTGTCTGATGGAGGAGGGTTAGAGCCTAGACTCCTGGGACTCAAGTCCCCAGGCCGGGCTTCCGAGGTGGCGGCACGCGCCCGCTAGGCGGGATCCGCGCCCCTCCTCCGCCGTCGGGCGCCGCCCCGCCTCCTCCCAGACCCAGGCCCTCCCAAGCTGCAGCGGCGAGTAGCCGGCGAGCAGCGGGCGTGCGAGCTGCCAGCGAGCCGGAGGAGGAGCCGCGGCGGCGCCGAGGACCGGCGCGGAGCAGAGAAGGGCGCCCCAGGTGAGAGCTCCGCGCCTCCTCCGGCAGAGCGCGCCGTCCAGGTCGCCCAGCCCCCGGGTAGGGAGGGGAGGGGCGGGGCCGGCGGGGGCGGGGCCTGGCGGAGGAAACTGAGGCAGGACGGAAGTGTCCAAATGGTGGAGCGAGTCCCCCGCAGCCGACTCAGGAGTGCGGGTTCCCCAGTGCAGTCCCCCCAGACGGAGAATCGGGGAGCCCCCGTTTATAAGCACCTTGGAGGAGGGGCCGCACGCTCAGCTCCCGCGGGTCTCAGGGAGGAGGCGGCTGGAGTGCAGGCAGCCTAGTGTGCAGGAGGTGGCTTCTGGGGAACCGGGACACCGTCGCTGAGGCAGGCTGGTTCTGGGCTCTAGCACGCCTGGGTCGGAGAAAGGAGGCGGCTGTGGCCCTGGGCACCTAGCCTGAGGGAGGAGGCGGCGGGTCGCGCAGTCCCCGCGCCGGTGCGGTCAGCCTCTGCCCTGCACACGCCACACTTCCCATCGCCCCAGCTCGGAGCCTGGCCAGCCAGACACTCCAGGTATGCGCAGTCGGAGTCTTGGGCGGGCCCCGGCCTGTCCTGCGAGGAGCGAACATTCCAGGAAGCAGCCTCGGGGACCCAGAGCCCTGAGCGTGGGCCGGCAGGGACCCGGGTGTCCGGGCCAGCCCCCCCCCCCGCCCCGCGTCCGGTGGAGGAACGGGAGGAGGGGATGCAATCTCTCCTAGGTGCCTCACCCGCCTTTCTGCTCCCTCCCCATCTGCTTCCCAGCCCTGCAGAGCTGTCACCTGCCCCGGGAAGTGGCCTCTGCAGGTGGGCGGGGCCTCTTCTCTAGGGTACCCAGGTTTTCAAAGACTCTGGAGGGTGGCTTTTTATGGGGGGGCGTGCCCTTCCCCCATCTGCCTTTGTAACCGGTTTCCTTCCTTCCACAGGCGGCTGCCCCCTCCCTCTCCTGAGATGACAGGGAGGACACTACCTGTCTCCTACACAGGGGCCCCACAGAGCCTGGGGGCCCCCAGCCCCAGAGTGCGGCGGTGGAGATGCTGCTGACAGGTCTGGTATTCATTCACCTGCTGCCTTCCAGCTCTGGCCCAGCTTCTAGAATGTTCTAGCCTCTCCATCTCCCTCCCAGCATCTCCCAGCACCTGGGTCAGTCTCACACTCAGGGGGATCGAGGTTCCTCTGGGTTACAGGACCTGAGGGCCAATTGGCATTGCTCAGAATCCAGATTTTACCCATGCCACTTGGTAGCTGTGTGAACCGGGGGGAATCATTTCTCCTTTGTTCGGCTGTACAGCCCTGGCTGGCGTGGAACTCACTGACCTCAAATGTGTGGCCATCTTCCTGCCTCTGCCTCCTGGGCGCCGAGGTACGTACAGGTGTGCATCACCACACCCAACTTTGGCAATTACTCACACTAACTGAGTAGTTATTATTCATCTAAAAGTTGAGCATTCCCCACGTTCTAGAGCACAGGGTGCCCCTAGGGTGCTCCTACAGTCGGCCATGCCGAGAGCCGCTGGAGGGGGTGGGGTGGGGGTGACTTGTTACCCAGGTGTCTCCCTTCTCTAACGACAGCCTTTCTCCATCTTCAGGTGTGCAAGCCATGCTCCCGCACTACTCCTGGCCGCTCACCCTTTTCCTTCTCCTCCTCCCCGGCGTCCCCATGGAGCCCCAGCCCCCGTCTTCCACCTTGCCCCCATTTCTAGCCCCCGAGTGGGACCTCCTGTCTCCCCGCGTGGCCCTGTCAAGGGGCGCCCCTGCTGGGCCCCCGCTCCTCTTCCTGCTCGAGGCCGGAGCCTATGGGGAGCCGGCAGGGACCCCAGCCAACCGCAGCCGGCGTGGTGTGAGCGAGACCGCGCCCGCGAGCCGCCGGGGTGAGCTGGCCGTGTGCGACGCGGTGAGCGGCTGGGTGACCGACCGGCGCACGGCCGTGGACTTGCGTGGCCGGGAAGTGGAGGTGCTGGGCGAGGTGCCGGCGGCAGGTGGCAGTCCCCTGCGGCAGTACTTCTTCGAGACGCGCTGCAAGGCCGAAGGCGCTGGGGAAGGAGGCCCGGGGGTGGGCGGCGGGGGCTGTCGCGGTGTGGACCGGAGGCACTGGCTGTCTGAGTGCAAGGCCAAGCAGTCCTATGTGCGGGCGTTGACCGCAGACTCCCAGGGCCGAGTGGGCTGGCGCTGGATTCGCATCGACACCGCTTGCGTCTGCACGCTCCTCAGCCGAACAGGCCGGGCCTGAGGGCCCCAGCTCGGAACTGCTCCGGTCAAGGAAAGGAAAGAGCTGGGTGCTGAAGGACTCAGAGGCTACCTGCTGCTCCACCGTGCCTTCTGATTGAGAACTGGGGAAAAAAAATCAAATCAAATCTCCCATTTTGAGAGTTCAATCTACATGGAATGTTTGATGAAACCAAACGGGGTTTCATTGAATGAATAGGAAGGAGTTCTCCTGGAGGAACTCGACAGTACCAATAATAGCCAATGTTTGCTATCTACTGTTTATTAGAACTAATACATGACTCTGCTGATGACCATTCCAACTTCGGAGGACCCTGGCTCACCTAGCTAGGGAGTGGGTGTGCCTCAGTTGGTAACAGTCTGTTTGCCTAGCATGCACCAAGTTCTGGGCTCTGTGCTGAGCACTACATCATAAATCATATACAGCAGTGGACATCTGCAATGCCAGCTCTTGGGCAGTAAAGGCAGGCAGATCAGGAGTTCAAGGCCATCCCTAGCTATATAGGGAGTTTGAGGCCAGCCTTGTCTACTTGAGAAACGAGAGAGAGAGAGAGAGAGAGAGAGACAGAGAGAGAGAGAGAGGGTCTTTGTTGTGATGCATTCCTGTAATCCCAGTGCTTGCGAGGCTGCAGGCAGAGGATGCCTCCAGGTCCGGGGCAGCCTGGGCTATATAGACAAACTTGCAGGGACTCAGAGTTGGGGTGGGGCCCAAGAGGGGAAACGATGGAAGCAGCTGGCCCAGGAACCTTGCGGACATGATGAGTTAAAGGCCTTGGAGCAGCTGGGAGCCTGACCTGGCCAAGGCAGACAAGTGTTGGCTTGGAATACAGCACTCAGCTTTGAGTGACAAGCATTCAGAGAGTACAAGCAGGCTTGGATACTAAACATCCACAATAGACCTAGTCTTTTTTTTTTTGTTTTTGTTTTTGTTTTGTTTAGCTTTGATTTTGGACACAGGGTCTCATGCAGCTCAGGCTGGCCTTGAACTCACTAAGTATTAAACTTCTGTCTCCTGCTCTCACCTCTCAAGTGTTGGCATTACGATTTATGTGGTGCTAGGGTTGGAACCCAGGGCTTTCTGCATGCTTAGCAAACATGCCGTCAACTCTCCCCCCCTTTTATTATGTTTTGGGGCAGGCTGGCCTAGAACTGGAATATGTTGCTGAGATGACCTTACTTTTTTTTAAAGGTTTCTTTGCCTTTGTGTGTTGAGTGTTTTGCTTCATGTATGGTGTGTACCGTGGCCGTGTCTGCAGTGGCCAGAACAGAGTATTGCATTCCCTGGACCTGGAGGTACAGATGGTTGTGAACCACCATGTGGGTGCTGGGAACCGAACCTGGATCCTCTGCAAGAGCAATGAGTGCTCTTAACTGTTGATCCATCTCTTTAGCCCCGCCTTCATCTTGAGTGCTGGGGTCACAGGTGTGTGCAACCACGCCTGGGAGACAGGGTCTCTCCACAGTAGGTCAGGCTGGACTCATCCACCTTCGTGTTGGAGCACCAGGGCCTATGACACCACGAGAGAATGTATAATCACAGCCCTCGGAGGTCAGCTTCCCGCACCCGCACCCTGGGTGAGCCTGGGCCGCTGGCTGGGCAGAATCTGCTCCTGATGCTCCGAGCTGGCCCTGTTCCCACCCTCCATCGCCTCCCTCTCAGTCTCTCTGACTTCCTGTCTCTTCTGTGGGTGAGGAGCCCCGCTTTCTCGGTCGCCCCAGCCCCAGGTGGGAGTTGTCAGGCAAATGAAAGGCAGGCAGGACTGGGGACGCTCGCCCTTCATCCTTCATGGGAAAGAGCTGTCTGGAAAGTGTTAGCCCGAGGTGGGCAGGCCTGGCAGACAAGCAGCCCGGGGGCCAGGGGCCCTGCAGGGAAGGGGCGTTTACTTCCCTCCCCCCGAGTCAGCCTGTCTCCCAGGCGGCTGTGCTCCTCACCCTGACCTCCCCTCCCTTTCTCCTCCCTCCCTTGGAGCCCCCACCCTGCTCCGAGCATCTCTTTCCTAGGGTCCTCCCCTCCGTCCTCCTCTCCCCAAGTCCCAGTCTCGGCTCCCCGAACCTCCCCACACCATTGGCTGGGCTCGGGGTGGGCGGGTTCTGTTACGAGGGGCAACGGCCACACCGCGAGCGGCGTCCTGGCTTCCGAGAGTGAGAGCCATGGCAGGTCGGACCCTGGCTCTGCGGTACGGGCCCCCTCGGTCTCCCATTTCTGAAGCTGAGGGTCCTGTAACCTGGCCCAGCTGGCAGTTCACCAGCAGCGGGGTCGCCCACCACAGGATCCCACCGGCGCCCTTCCCTCCCTCCGGCCTCCAGGTGAGAGGACTCAGGGCGGAGTTCAGGAACGGCGTGCTGGCAGGAGAGGGCCAGGCTGCCGCCCTGGAGGAGGCAGGGCGTGGGAGCCCGCACGCCAGGGCTGGAGGAAGGGAAGGGGTCGCTGCGCTCCCTGGGTCTTTTGGCCGACTCCGCGCCTTCTCCCCAGTGTACGGTCGCGGCACCTCTGCCCGCGGCCGCCAAGCACGAGCCGCACATATGGACTTTTGACGAAGTCATCAACCGATGGGAAACCACCTCGGGCTCCTCATACGTGCCCAAGACGCACGGTGGACCCTGTGCTCAGCCCAAGGCGGCAGAGCATGAGGACCCTGGGCGGTCGCTAGGGATCAAATCTTTGGCAGAGAAGGTAGGGCTCTGGGATCCTGCAGCCCGCGGGATGGAGAGTTGGACACCGGAGTCCCTACTTGCTCACCTTGAGTCTTTGGACCGATCTCCTTCTTGTAGCTAAGAAGACACGAGGGTTGGGGTACTCCCCTAATCACAAAATACCAGGTCAGCGAGATGAAGGCACGGTACCCGGCCTGGCCAAGTCAGAGTGCTCCTCTCTTTGAGGAGCCCCAACCCCTGGAGCTCGCCGACCACCACCGCGGGGGCCCTTCCCAGGTAGGGGGCTTGGGAACTGCGGGAAGGAGCCTGGGCTGCCCAGAGGGTTAGGGACCAGACGGAATGGCTAGGCTAGGGGGAGCTTGCACTCGAGGGTGAAGCTAAAGGGGGTTGGATTAGGGTCATGAAACTGAAGCTTAGAGTCTGAAGGAGCTGGGAGGCTCGATGTTGCTTCGAGGCTGTAGGGTGCTAGTGCGATGAACTAAGTTAAAGTTTTGCTCCGCAGAGTTGGAGAATATTCTGAGACAGGGTCAGCTTAGCAGGCCGACGTTAGGTTAACGGTTAGGGTACAAGTGTTTTCATCCAAGATGTCCTTACCCAGCGCCGGGGCAACTGTCTAGGCTAGCAGGGGGATTGGAAAGCTGCTGTGGCTGTAGCTTGAGTTTGTCCCTCCTGACCGGTAAAGTCAAGGTGGGGTGCAGAGCTTCCCCAGGATCCTTTCCCAATACTCCTCAGGCCCTAATCTCCTGGACGAGGAATACAGAGCTGGCCGGCCAGCCCTTTACTGTGAACAAGATGGGCGTCCTGGGCCGCCTCCAGCCCTATCTGACCACCACTGCTCGTGACTTCTCAAGGTGAGCCTATAGGCTGCAGGTTCTGGGGTAGGAGCAGCCCCTCTTATGGGCAGTTCTAACTGCAGGTACAGGAACCACAGTACTGACCCAAGCTGAGCTCTTCCGTTCAGCATCCAGAGCCTCAGCCAGGGCAGCAAGGGCCCATTTCCAGGCTCTAGAGGCCCTTGGAATCCCAACTCTGCAGCTCTCGGTCCGACTCACCCGCTGCCCCACCCACAGGAAGGAGTTGCCTGGATACCCCGGGCAAGAAACAATGACTTGCTGGTGCTGGCTGAAGAAGTCGCAGGCCTCCTGCCTCCCTGAGCTACAAGGCAGTCAACCGAGGGAGCGCCTAGCCCGTGCCCACCCGGTGCCACCGGCCGTGCCATACCTGGGTGCCCTGCCAATGACCCAAGACTCTTATGGGCCCCCGCTGCACCCGCTCCGCAGGCTGGACCGCTTTTGCCCACTAGAGGCACCCTGGGGAGGTCCCCACTCAAAGCCCCTGCCTGGCATCTACAGCGTGCCCAAGGCCTACTGCACTGAAAATTCCCGCTATGGGAGTGCCAGGGCAGAGGTGGTGTGAGCATCTGTGAGCCCCGCCCACCGGGTGGGAATAGACTCCAGAATGAGATCTGTGGGCGGGGCAACCCCGGCATACCCCATGCGCCTCCAGAGGGAGGTTACTGATCAAGTAGTTTTACAGCTGAAACGACATCTATTTCTGGACCTGCATCCTGGTTAGGGAGTTGGGTGAGGGGCAGTTGCTCCCACTGGGTATAGAGGGAACCAAACGCTGAACACTGTCCTTTCCTACAAGTTGCACGGAGGAATGAGAGAATACTCTTCCCTCCCGTGATGGGGTTGAAGGTCCTAAGGGTTCTTCCTGCACTGCCAAGGTTGGCTAGGCTCAGACACCTGGGCTGAGTGTGACACTGGAGCTGGTCCCTTGCTTCCCTGGCCTTGTCTGTCTCTCGCCCCCAAAGAGATTAGTGTCTAGGTTACCCAAGCCTACAGCCGCCGCTTGGTGGCCTTGCCACCCCCACAGCCCGCAGGTATAAAATCAGGTGGCCAAGGTAGGGAAGGCATCAAGGATGGAGAAGCTCCAGGTAAGAGTGTAGGGCTCAGGGCATCCAATCCCACCAGACTAACTGGTACAGATGGACAGCCCTGTGAGCTGTGGGGGGAGGTGGTGTCCTGGCTGCTGGACTCCAAGCAGGACAGAAATGTGTTTGATGACAGGTGATGGGTCCCTAAGGCCAAAGGCCAGGATTTACATCATACACTGGTCCAGAGTCTGGGAGGGGAAACCCAGAGCTAGACTTAGGCGCTGACTGTGTCCCAGGGGCTGCTGCTATGGCTGTTGCTGAGCCCCGGTGTGGGCTGGGCCTCCAGGGGTCCCCTGCGGCCACTGTGCAGGCCCGTCAACGCAACCCTGGCTGCAGAGAATGAAGCGTGCCCAGTGTGCATCACCTTCACCACCAGCATCTGTGCTGGCTACTGTCCTAGCACGGTGAGCTCGCCGAATGGGCGGGGACCTCAGCTGGACCCAAGACAGGAGGGGGTGGCTGTGGGCTCAAAGGGGGTGATGGCGCCTGGGCAGGGGTCATGGCTACGGTGGGGGTTTGGAGGGTCGGGTGGACATTCACCACAGAGCCGTGGAACATTCGTGACTGCTTTTTTTCCTCCCTGCGCTCCAGGTCCGAGTGTTGCCGGCTGCCCTGCCTCCTGTGCCCCAGCCTGTGTGCACCTACCGTGAGCTACACTTGGCATCTGTCCGCCTCCCTGGCTGCCCACCTGGGGTGGACCCCATGGTCTCCTTCCCCGTGGCCCTTAGCTGCCGCTGTGGGCCCTGCCGTCTCAGTACCTCTGACTGTGGGGGTCCCAGGGCTCAGCCACTGGCCTGCGACCTCCCCCACCTCCCTGGCCTCCTCCTCCTCTGAGGCCCATCCCCCTAACCCTCTAGCTGAAGGAGCTGGCAGCTGTTCCAATGGTTCTTTCCAATAAAGGCTTTACAACTGCAACCCGGGTGTCCCCTTGTGGGCTCTGAGGACACAGGGCGGGGGTCTGAGGACACAGCGGGGTCTGAGGACACACGGCGGGCTCCAGTTTACAACCATTTTATACAGTCACAGTGTTAGAACTTGTAGAAAATGAGGGCAGGGTTGGGGTGGAGTTTCGGCTCAGGAGGTGTCCATTGTTTCGCCTTCTGTGGAAAGGGGAAGCCAGGCATGAGTGAGGTCCGGGGTGTTCCATGTAACCCTCTTCTACAGGGGCAGCAGCCTGGGTGGGTTACTCACTGAGCTCGTTGAAGAGGAAGGCATCTTGGTATTCCTTCATGTACTGTGTGGAGCGGGATTCGTCCAGGAAGAGGGAGTAGACGCGTTTGATGTCATCCACCTGCACCTCCGTGCCCTGGGGACAAGTGGGACTCAGCCATGCCAGCTTAGGGTCAAGGATGTCCCCTCCCCCACAGCTTTCCCCTGAGACTGCTGCTGTTCTCAGTCCCCACGGAGTAGCCATGTGCCACGGTCTATAGGCTACCCCAGACCACCCTTCAGCCCTCCAGGCTAACTTCTAGCTCACCTTTCGCTTCCGGCACACCAGACTGGCCGCTGTGATGAGCTGGATGGCGTAGCGCAGGGAGGTCTCCAGCCCAATGCGGGTTAGCACCGTGTAGGCGTCTTCACTCATCTCCACATCTTCCTCCTCACAGCTGTGGGCGGGCAGGCCTCAGCCAGGCAGAATGGCACATCACCCCACCCATCCCCAAAGACTCCAGGCTCAGAGCCAGAGCCGAGGGCCTCCCACCCCACCCCACCCCACCCCACCCGCCGGCAGGGTGCCATAGTGGTCTCTGCGGGGCGCAGCCCTCCCATCCAATCTGTGTCCCTATAAAGGGGCCAGGGTGGCCCACCGGATGCGTAGAATCTGCTTGGTGTCCTTCTCACTGTAGGGGGATGTTGATACAATGAGCAGGCGGTCCAGCAGGTCAATGGGGATGCCATGGGGACTTTGGTAGCTGGTGCCTCGGATCCTGGGGGTCAGAGAGGACTGTTAATGGATGCTCCAGGAAACGATGCCGGCCATTAGCCCACTTGGGAGCTGAATAACTAACGACGCGAGCAGGCTCTTATCAGATGCAAGCACAGGCCCTCCCTTCTCTTAACCCCTGCTGCACAGGCAATTCTTGGTGGGCAAAGGGGACCCACAGCAACTTGCTCTAGTCATACGCAGTTTAGCCACAAATACGATGCTCTTCCCCAGGGAGGTGGCTCAGGACAGCTGCCAGACCCCACCCTAGCATTCCTGTACTTTCCAGAGCTGGGGAGAGGCTGGCACAGAGACTGCAGATTGCAGGTGAGCATTAGACGACAAAGGGCTTGGGAGCAGGCCCCTCCCTCAGAGGGACAGCGCAGGGCTGGCTCCCTATGTGCGCTGGTCCAAAGATGTCGCTCCTCAGCCGGGCGGTGGCGGCGCACCCTTTCATCCCAGCACTTGGGAAGCAGAGGCAGGCGGGTCTCTGTGAGTTCGAGGCCAGCCTGGTTTATGGAGCTAGTTCTAGGACAGGCTCCAAAGCCAAACAGAGAAACCCTGTCTCAAAGAAACAAATGACAGACAGACATGCCTCTCCTCCCATCCTGCCCCCTTAAGCCGGTGGCCTGGGCAAGTCGCTGAGTTTTGCTGGCAGACTGAGTGGGAGCGAGGGAAGGGGAGGGTGGAGAAGAGGGCAGCTGAGGGGACCCTGAACGCTGTCTGCCTTCTGCCTCCTCACAACACATCCCCAGTCCTGGGGACATGACACACTCTTTATATACACAAACACACACAAAAGCCAGTCAGAAAGGAAGCAGAGGGGCTGAAGAGACCCTTAAGAACACATACTCTTCTCACAGAGGACCCCAGCTGGGCTCCCAGTGCCCACCCTGGGTAGCTCATAACCGCTGTCCACCTGCCTGCAGGGGACCGGATGTCCTGTTCTGGACTGTGCACACATCTGAATTCACACTTGCATCCCCAACCCCACAAACACCCGACTTTTAAAACAGAGGTGGGGGGGTGGATATCACGGGAAAAACATGAGACAGGCTAATATGCTTGACCCACCACCAGAGGGAGCCTGGTCCCTGAGCCCTGTCCCTCTTGAGTCCCCGAACTCGGGGCCCTCTGCAAGAACCTGGGAACCATCACTTCAGACTTTTTTCTTAGAGAAAACAAAAGGGAGCGGGCGGTGGTGGCGCACGCCTTTGATCCCAGCACTCAGGAGGCAGCGGCAGGAGGATCTTTGTGAGTTCGAGACCAGCCTGCTCTACAAGAGCTAGTTCACAGAGAAACCCTGTCTTGAGAAACCAAAAAGAAAACAAAAGAGTCTCATGTAGCCCAGGCTCAGACAGAACTCCTATCTCAGCCTACATACCATCCCCAGTACTCCACAGTACCTTTACTGGGTCTGATCCCAGCAGTCTGTGACATGTCTAACAGATGCCCCGTGGGTGCCTGGGCCAACAGTTCTGAACTGCAAATTACCCAGACTTGTGGGAGCAGCATACGGGGCAAACGCAGAAGGAGGTACCATCACCCTTTCACCCTGAAACCGCTAAGGCTGCTCACCGGGTGATGCCTCGGTTGGTGGCCATGATGAGGACTGGGGCCATGTCACTCTCCAGGGCCCGGTTGAGGAAAGAGAAGCTCTCTATGTCCAGCATGTGGACCTCGTCGATGAATAGCACCTGGAAGCCATTGAGGCACAGATCAAGCTCACCTCCGCCCTCTGCCCAGTCATACCCGCCCACCTCGGCTCTAATCACCTACCCCAGGGATGATCTCCGCCTTGCCCTCCTCCCTCCACTCAGCCACCTTGGCGTTGATCTGTTCTCGGACTTCTGACTTGATCTCCCCTGTGTCTCCTGCCAGAGACGGGGGGGGGGGGGGCATCAGTAGAGCCTGGGTCCAGGACCAGGGGCGGGCAAAGACAGAGACAGACAAAGGCCACAGAACAGGGCTATCATGCTACAGCCGCAGGACCCTGGAGTGCCTCAGAAAGGGCAGAAGGCAAGGCCGGAGGGAGGGTGTGGGGGCAACGCAGGGAAGGCAGACAGCAGGTCTGGGAAGAAAAGATGGAAACGGCAGAGGCAGGAGAGGGGCAGAGGCCGGGGGCAGGCTGTGCCGGGGAGGAGAAGGAAGGGCCAGCACAGGGTGGGCACAGCGAGGGGCCGGGGCCGGCTGGGAGGGGCGGGGCCGGCCGGGGAGGGGCGGGGCCGGCTGGGGACGGCGGGGAGGGGCGGGGCCGGCTGGGGACGGCGGGGAGGGGCGGGGCCGGCTGGGAGGGGCCGGCTGGGAGGGGCCGGGGACGGGCGGGGCCGGCCGGGGAGGGGACGGCGGGGAGGGGCGGGGCCGGCTGGGAGGGCCGGGGCCGGCCGGGGAGGGGCGGGGCCGGCGGGGAGGGGCGGGGCCGGCTGGGGACGGCGGGGAGGGGCGGGGCCGGGTGGGGACGGCCGGGGATGGCGGGGCCGGCTGGGAGGGCCGGGGACGGGCGGGGCCGGCCGGGGAGGGGCGGGGACGGCGGGGAGGGGCGGGGCCGGCTGGGAGGGGCGGGGCCGGCTGGGAGGGGCGGGGACGGCCGGCTGACCTGAGAAGAGGGCCAGGAAGCCCTGAGTGCGCGAGTTGATGACGTCAATCTCGTGGAGGGACACGGTGTGCACCACCTCCTTGCGTTTCTGCAGCTCCCCGTCTGGGCACTGCACAAACTTGGTCTATAGGGCCGAGGGCAGGCGTGAGGGCAGCGAGAGCAGGGGCACCAGGGGCCCCACGCCGGGCGGTGACGTAGCATCCAGACCCCAGGGTGTAACAGAAGATACGGGAACACCCCAGCGCCAGGTGAGGGGCCGG